TTTTTCATTAAGACACAACCGTAGCGACCACGATCTCGAGCTCGACCTCGTGCAGCTCTGACCACGACTGTCATCCACCTGTATGTGGGAACAGCCACCACGGAGTCTGTCAGAACGGACAGTGTGATTGCAGCACCAAGCAACAAGGTAAATATACTTTGTTATTTTTTAAAGTTCAGTTAGAAAGTAGTCCAGGATCCTGTGTCAAAATCTCCGCAAGTTTAATAGTACGCGAAGAGAATATTCCGGGTAAATGGACAGGGAGAAGAATGCTGCATTTTTAAAGTTCATAACCTGTTTGTGAACTTGTTGCCAAAACCCGCTTACAAATAAAATACCCCAACATACCTGCCACTGAAGTGTCTTCCAACATAGCTTCTATCGACGCCTGTCTTAGCTCGATAGAATAGGCTAACACTATCAATGTCACATTATCAGAGACTGTGCCCACCATTTCGGAACTTCATGGTGACATTAAAGATGGTTCCGGTATGGAATTGGAAAAAGGGTGCCCACGTCCCTCGTGACTCATTGGACCAGAGGAAGATATGACCTACGCAAACATTACTTAAACGCAATCCCACATCATAACTCATCAGCACCATTATTTCTAAAATTATCATTGCTCTCAGATTAATGACTTACATCTATAATCCTTGAATCTCTATATGTAACAGTTACGTGTCATACTAAGTATACACGCAATACATTATTGGACAATATAATATGAACTTATTTCCACAAATCGAATGGCGTCCATCTCATATAAATGGGCAAGGGATTTTAAAAAAAGATAACTTTATATTTAATTAGAAGCAAAGGCAGGCAAGACGAAATGCACCGTGCGTATACATCATTCTATATATATGTTTGTGTGTGTGTGTTCATATCTGTGCGAGAGACAGAGAGAGAGAGAGAGAGAGAGAGAGACAGAGAGAGAGACAGACAGACAGACAGACAGACAGACAGAGAGAGCCTGCAAACTGCACCACACAAAAAGTGATTAAAAAAAATGAATATATCAAATTAACAAGAATCTTGTCTTTTTAGATCCTATCGTAGGCAAGAGAGCGACCTCATGCAGCTCTGACCACGACTGTCACCCACCTGTATGTGGTAACAGCCACCACGGAGTCTGTCAGAACGGACAGTGTGATTGCAACGCCTAAATAGGTAAAATAAGGAAAAAATGAAACAACAACAATAATAATAA